TTTATACATATTTTTTAAATATAACGTTTTAAAAAAAACGGAAAATATTCAGTATATATATATATATATATATATATATATACAGAATATATAAAATAAAATACTGTATATTTTCAGTTTTTTAAAAGTGTATAAAAATCTACTACTATATAGATCCGTTTCAGCAACCATTACAAATATTCGGTGTTCTGGCAAAAATTGCCATAAGTTTGCCATCTTAAAACCTGTTGTAATTCCATGGCCCTTTTTGTTAATATTTAAATTAATATATTATTCTTTTATATTAATACGGTAAATTTTTTAAATTTTATTTTATATTTACCTGTTATAAATAAATATGATACTATTTAACACTTTAAAGTAACCTATTTTATAAAATACATATTTATATATTAAATAATACATCTGGAATAAAATTATATACAGTATATATAGATAGATAGATAGATAGATATGTAGTACTTTAACACTCGCACTGATTTCTCCCTAAACCCGCTCATTTGTGTCGTTGCTCCCTCAGGTTTGGGTCATTCTAAGGCGGCTCCGGCTCCAGTGGGTCAGCCGGCTCCAGGTGTGTTCCTCAGACAGGTGTGTGAGGCTCTGCAGACCGGCCCCGTGGTGATCATCAGCCCTTCTCTCAGCGGCATGTATTCGCTGCCGTTCCTCTTCCAGCACTCCGAGCAGGTCAAGGCCTACATCCCTGTAGCTCCCATCTGCACAGAGAAGTTCACAGCAGAGCAGTACAGCAGCGTGCAGGTGAGACAGGAATGAGTCCATCAGAGAACAAACAGAAACACACATCCATCTATTATAAAATGTGCTAAAAATGAGTGATGTTCATCCTTATGTACCTGTACAGACTCCAGCTCTTATAGTTTATGGAGACCAGGATACTCAGCTTGGGGAAGCATCGCTAAGCAACCTGAGACATCTGCCCAATCACAAAGTGGTGGTAATGAAGGGGGCGGGGCATCCTTGTTACCTTGACGATCCAGAGACCTGGCATAAGGCAGTCCTGGACTTCCTACAGTCGTTGTGATCATATTAAAAACCCTAATAGTGTAAAATTGTTCTAGTCAAAACGTTAATTACGTAAGTGATCAATATGAAGTGCATTCAGTTTCATACTTAATGACTGATTATGTCAGAAACACTACCTTTTTATTTTTGTATGCAACTTTTTTTTGTGCAATTTGCAGTGCTTTTCACGTGGATGCATGGCACTTGTGTTGAGAGGTGTGTCAAAGACCTAAAGTCAACATGAAATGCTGTTTGCAAACCAATTTACATAACTTTTGAGTCAAAGAAGATAGTCAATGAGAAAATAATATAGGACGGGGCTTGATTTTATCCATTGGGAACTGATTAGACTGAAAACTAGGTGTTTTGAACCCTTTTTTTAAAAATAAATTATGTGCAAGGAAGAATCATTTAATAAGTAACATTCATAACATTCAACAGTCAACAAGAAACTTGTATTACAGTAAACGAGGGGCAATTTAGATTTTATGCTGACTAAATTCCAGAGGTGTAAAGTATTGGAGTAAATGTGTACTTGAGTATCTTTTTGGATACTTTGTAGTTGTATTGAGTATCAAAGATATTAGCAACTTTTACTCCTTACTTCACTACATTATTGAATGAGTATCTGTACTCTTTACTCCACTACATTTGAAATGATGTTGCAGTTACACATTACATTTTGCATGGACCTAGCCTTTTCTGCAGCAGTTTATTTCTGTGATACTGCCTATTACAGGCCACTGAAAGTACTGCATCTTGTGCGTTTTGCCCTTACTCACCCAAACTTTTCAACAAGGCTACTTTATGTGAATGCGAGTTCCTTAGCAAGTATTTGTGAATCAGAGGTGTTTTATATATGAGATGAGGACATGACTGCAGCCAGCAATGAGGCCCAAACCAGCACATCCAGTGCAAGAAGGCTTTGGCTTTTTAATTTTACTTAACATTATTTTATGTATTCATTATACTGAAGAGACCTTTTTGAAGGATATTGTTTTTTTGTTTGTTTTGTAATTTTGAGGTGTTCATTTCTATTTTGGTATTAGAAAATAAACGTGATTGCTCTCCTCACAAATCAACTCTTTCTTGTTTTTGTTGCATGTTCTCTGTGCCTTGCCCTGGACTTTTATGTCACTTCCTGTCTCCCGTGGTGTTTGTAGTCTGTTTGTTCATTGGTTCCCCTTGATTAGTCTCCTCAGGTGTGTCTTATCTTGTTAAGGCCTGTTCACACCAAGCATGATAACTATAAAGATAACAATAAAGATATAGTTCTAAAAATCGTT